ATACAGTCGATCCTGCCATGACGGCCACCTGTATATATTTGAAAGAAATCTCATCCAGATTTGACTCCAAGCTCCGCTGTACTGATCCATCTGTGAAGATGACTACATCGCCCTGTCCATGTTCTCCTCGATCAGCGTCTCTACCTCGGCATTGGCTGCCACCTCAGGCCACTCACAACATTCTCTGCCTAAGGTTGCTACCACTCGAGTATACTGCCCAGGTGTGTCAGTGACGTTGACCTATATGATGCGCTGCCTCTTCGGACCTCTTGCACTTCACAGCATTTAGCCAAAGTCGTCGCTGCCTCATTCTCATCCATTTAGTCCCTCAGACAGTACTTCCTACTTTGTCATGCAGTGGGTGCTGACCATCGGCACAGACTCTCAAATACGCTTTCACGTCGAGAGGCATTCATTAGCATGATTCAAACGCCTAGACGCCGTCATATTGTCACTTCTAGGCGGTTGAATCACGCAGATTTTGGTATGTCTAATCTGCCTATATTAAGTAAACTTATGTAAGAAAGCTTTTTAAAAAAAGTTACAGACAATCGTCCTACATCATATTATAGATCTATCATAGATCAATATCAATTTAAAATTTCAGATTCATAGATACGAGCATAGAAATAACGGCCAGTAGTAGTAGTAGGACCTAAAATAAAAATTGCTGTTCTCCTAAAAAAGTTGTCTCTTATTCTTATGGTGGTTGAATCACTCGGCTAGAGATATGTATTATTATAATAGATCTAGGCCTATATAGATATTTATTAATATTAAATATCACAGTGGAAGAAAAGTTTAGCAGACCACAATAATTAGTCAATAATAAGTCATCGGGAAAAAGAAAGAAAACCACACAAACTGGCCTACACTTTCAGATCTTATTAATGTCTTATTGAACTTGGATGCAATGCCAGGACTAGGCTAATACTAATACACTAGAGTACTAAATCTAGATCTAGATCTAGATCTAGTTAATAAACTAATAAATTTACCTTCGGCAACTTCCTCCAAAGGTGGCTGGTGAAGGGGCATTTTCTGAACTGGCAACATGGTTTTGAGTGTTGTTGGTACGCGCAGGGCTTTTTTTATGTTGAATCTAGGCGTGGGCTAACAAGCTAGAACAGAATGTAATCTACAGTTACTTTGTTAACTCAGAACTCTAGTGAATTCGGAATACAAGGTCTATTCCCTCCTGGTCCTTGCTGCTTCAGTCTAAAACTTGTTCGATGTTCTGGCCTGAAACCTACTTTCGATTTACGCTCTATTCACTCTTGTCAGTGCAAGTACGAAGCGAAGACTGCCGACTCGACACTCGACTGCCAGATTCAAACGTTCGTTGACCGAGACGGCGAAAGTGGGCGGTGCCCAAACCGATGTCTGTTCCGATATCAAGCGACCCGCGAAGGTCATAAGGCGAACAGCTATAGTTAAAAAACATTATTTTTTTCTAAGCTAAAAAAGGGGATTGACAAATGGGTCTTGCAACAAAGCTGATTTTGGTGTAATTTGAACCAGAAGGCCTTGCTCTATCATGTATGAAATACAAAACGAGGGTATAAATTGGAGTAGACGGAAGTTGTTAAAATACCCTC